GCAAAAACGGCCAGCATTGTGGGATTATTCTTTATCTTTGGCGCAACGCAGATATACAATAAGATAACAGTTATGGTCAAAAGTAGCTTTGGCATTAAATGGTGAGTATAATAATAATATTAAATAAAAATAATAGTAAAAACGCGCTATTAAATATATTTAAATACAAAAAATACAAAAAACTAATAANAAACCTCATAGTTTTTTTATAGATAAAATAAATATAAAAGCGCAAAAAAAGTTCAAGTCATTGCATGATACGTATCGCAAAATTGTACAATCAGAAAAGCTTATGAGTGGATCTGCTAAGAGAAACAGAGTCCAAAAGTGGCTTCATTATCATTCCATGAGTTTTCTTAAGGACTGTTGTCTTCTAAAAACGTAAGTATAAATATTTAAATTTATTAAATACCTACCGAATTACGTACAGTCGGCGTCAATGAATCGTTGCGTAGCCCCGAGAGCTAGGGGTAAGAGTGACGGTATTCTCTAGGAGTAAGTTGTAACAGTTCGACTTTTTGGTCGAAGCTGATTCCGTTATTCTTAGACGTAAACATAAGTAAATCTCGAATAGAATTGACTAATCACATCGATTAACCAATTGATTAACGTGATTGGTTAACTTAACGAAACCTGCTATTTGCAATTGCATCTTGCACTTAATAGGTTTGGTTTGATTATCGTACACTGTAAAGTGTAAAAATGTAACTTAGGTGTAGCATCACTTCTTGGAGAGTAGAGGAAAGTGTACACAAATGTCGTAAAGTAACGCGAACGCTAAAGTGTAATTTCTTACTTACCATTTCTGAAATAAATCACTTTACTTTGGCAAAAGCACTTGACGCAATTATTCTCGTTCACTTCTAATTTTTCGTTATTGTCACGCATGATATTTGCAGAATTACTTCTCAGCCATAATTTGGGCCCTTAATCAAAAAAATAAATAGAAAAAATTAAAATTTATATTTCAAAAGCTTGTTGACATTTGAATATAACACACTGTTTTTTTTATTGCTTATATCATAATATATCTTAAAAAATCATCAATCAATCGCTCGTGAAAAGTTCAAATTAATTCAAAGGCCGATACGAGCAATAAAATACAGGATGACAGCGTATAAACAAAAGTCTTTATTCAAAAAGACAAAAAAAAACAAACGTTTTAGTCCACAATTTTGGACCTTCCTCAGTGAAATAATTGTTACATCTAATGGAAATAATATAGAATCAGCGCAAAAAAACACTTCAATAAAATTAAAAATAACAAATTAATAAAACTCACTCAAATAAAAAACAATAATTTAACACATCGCTTCAATATAACAAAATAATGTCAATCGAACATGACGATGTAATACAAATACTGTGTACTGACAAGAAAACTAACAACAAGCACATATATAAAGATATGCCCACTATGGGATCCGGAGATCACAAGTTCACAATAGGTCGAAAAACAAGTTTATAAAAGTAACAGTCTAAACATTTGATTTATATAATTCTAGAAAAAAAAAATAAGGTTTCAAACTGTCGGTATCCGACATTACATTTAACGGATTGTTCTGCAACTTAATGTGGAACATTTCAGAAACTCTTATAAAAAAACTTCTCAGTGTCCAAAATTTTAACGTCATTCCAAATAAAGTCATGACCAGAACGATGCTCCGTAACCACAGAAACAACAGCTGAATTTCTGTTAATCTGATTTCTATGTTCGCTAATTCTTGTTTTTAACTTGCGCTTCGTTTGTCCAACATAAGAAACATTACAATTATTGCAATTAATTTGATACACATCTTTATTTTGATCATGGGTTAACTTGTCTTTTCCGACTTTAATAAATTTACTCAATTTATTCAAACTACGAAAAGCCAAAAAGATCTCCTTTGTATTTTTAAAAATTCTTGAAATAGAACAGGATAGTTCAGGAAGATAAGGAACAACAGAATATTTTTTAATAGATTCAAGATCACATGTAGAAAATTTATTGTCATTGTTTGAAAAAATTTAATCTGTTATTAATTAAAACCTTAATTCTATACTTGATTGTCTTAAAAATAAATTGTAGAGGATAGTTATTCATAAGGAGCACCTCAATCATAAATATAAAATTTTTTTGTTGAAAACAAGGGTTAGACAATAACATAATTCTATCAACCATATTTAAAATAGTGCCAATTTTTGGTGATTGCGGATGGGCAGAATAAAAATTCAAATATCTGCCAAAAAAAGTAAGTTTATGAAAACAGTCAAACATTACTTTGCCATTAAAATTGAAAATTTTAACTTCTAAAAAACTTAAACAATCATTATTTTGAACTTCTATTGTGAATTGTAATCTATTATTGTAACTGTTAAACATCTCTAAAAGTGAAGTTAAACAATCAGGAGGTGCTGTTNTTATTGTAACTGTTAAACATCTCTAAAAGTGAAGTTAAACAATCAGGAGGTGCTGTTAAAATAATATCGTCCACATATCTAAAATAAAATGAAGGCTTGAATTTTAATTTTTTCAATATAAATTTCTCCAAATCTTGCAACACAATATCAGCAATAATTAGAGATAAAGGAGACCCCATAGGCATTCCGAAAGTCTGTTTGTATATTTTATTATTAAAAGAAAAATACGTTGATGTTAAAACAAAATTAATTGCTTCTAAACATTCTTTTAAAGGAACTTTAGTATTATTCCTAATATATTTCCATCTAACTTTGATCCCTTTAATAGCTAGATCAATAGGTACATTTGTAAATAACAAAATAACATCTAATGATACAAGCATATGACCGTGCTGCAGTGTAAGTCCACTTAATTTTTTAACAAGATCAAAACTGTTGCTAACAAAGCTGTTCGAGACAGGTATACTTTTTTGAATTAATTTATTTAAAAAATCAGCAAAGTGATGTAACGGACTATTAATCGTAGAAACAATTAATCTAAACGGGTTATCTTTTTTGTGAATTTTTGGTATCCCGTAAGCACGAGGTAATAAGCCATCACTNGATTTGATAGATTTATAAGAAAGATCAGAAATAAATTCCTTCTGTACCCAATTTCTTAACATTTTATTAAGACTATCTTTAATATTTTTAATAGGATTTCTATTAACCAAGGAATACGTCGTAACATCACTAAGCATTTCATTAATTTTTTCCAAATAAAAAGTCCGATCAACAGCAACAGTCACATTGCCTTTATCCGCGCGTGTAAACATAATATCAGGATGATTTTTTATGAAAACCGAAACCTGTTTGTGTCGAAATATTAATTCTCTATTGAAATCACAAAATCTCTGTGATGTACATAAAAAATTAGTTAAAATTGGGATGACATGCGATCTCAACGATTCCGCTGTATTTTTATTATAAAACCTTAAATTGTTTTTAAAATCTTTTATCACATGTAATAAGTTATCCTTTTTAATAGTAGGCATACTAAAATTTTCACCTAATTGTAAAAGTTGGACAACTTCATCAGGGATATCAAAAGAAGTCAAATTAACAAACCATTTCTCCTTTATGTCAAAAAAAGAAGAATTAAAAGTCAAATTATTAAAACTACTTGCGTTAACTTGAATTAAATCGTAAACAGGAGTCGTTGGTTTGACATTCAACTTATAAGTATAATTATCANAAATATTATCGGAATCTCTGTTAGCACATGAAACACCATGTTCAACAATATAAGAAATAGGTTCACTTGTTTTAATGACAGTGCGGATTTTTTTGTTAATTAACCAATCAATTTTTTTGTTAACGTGGAGAACTTGGGAACTCACATATCTGTCAAGAAAATTATATTGTGTATGAAAGAAATTATTTAAAATGCTAGATGGTAAATATTCATATAATGTTTTGTTCAAACGACAAATAGTTTTCTTTAAAAACCAAAGTTTTCTATGAGTATCGTGAATTTCCAATTTTAAGATGCTTCGGAAAAAACGTTGTACATTTTTACGCATTTTTAAAGAGCTTTTATAATCAAACAATTCGTTAGGATATTTCAAAGAAGTAGCAATATGTGGAGGAACAATATCTTGACGTACACAAGTTTTTAAAAAATATAATCTGGATCTTAGTTTAATAAGCTTACGATTCGTAGATATCCAGTTTTTTAAAGTAATTGCGCTGGTANTTCCAAAATAGATGGTGATGAAATGGAAAAATGAATTAATCTTGANATCAGTAGAACGCTTCATTGCAGCCAGCGTAAAATATTTCAAAATAAAATATCTCAAAAAATATTTTATTTTTCTAAATACTTAGCATTTAACTTTACATTTTATACATAGAATTAAAACTTATTTTATAATCGGCGTCTATAATCTCTTTCTGCAAATTGAAAACTTCACCGCGCATTACTCACTAGCTTCTACATGATAACACCACGGGTATACTCTCTCTCGAGCTCATGTAAAAAGTGTTGAGAAAAATACACTAAAGTGTAGCTACACTTGCAGCGAGAACAGCTTCTTTTTTTGTCATTTCCGAGTACACTTGGCAACAAGAACGTGTTTACACTTTTGTGTAAAAAGTGTACAAATGTAGGCAACCAGAACAAACCTAATGTAGAATGGACTTTAAGCGATCAGTGTAAACTAGGCTATTGTGTTAAGATAAACGCTGATCTGTTCTCGGTTGATGTTTTATACTTTTTGTCACAGCAGCCGATCGATCAACGTAATTTAATCAGAGAGAAGACTAAAAGCGGCCATACTATTGTAGTTTCTTACAACGATTTCAGCCGCTGGTTTTAGCCGTATTTCCACAAAAGTGGAACTCAAAGACCGTTTTACATTAAACACAAGTTGCAGGTCTCGTGGAATTGATCAATCACCTTGGTCGATTGGGTGACTTAACTATGCGATTAGTAAATTCCACGAGACCTGCGACTTGCGTTTAATGTAGAACGCCTTTGAAATCTACTTTTGTGAATATGGCGCTAAAACTAGCGGCTGAAACCGTAGTAAGAACCTACAGTAAAATAGCCGCTCTCTAGTGAAACTTACTGACAGTTAATGGCTGTGCAATAAAGAGAAACTTTGTAGTAGGTGCGCGAAACAAACAAGTTTTCGTCCATCCCGTTTTTGTTCTGAAATTGAACGCAATATAAAGCACTCCGCGAGACAGGCTGCAAACTTAGGTCCGTTCTACGATAAAGTGTGTCGCTGTTGGATGTCGGGCGCAAGTATGGGTGCTTTCCAGCTACGTACACAAGCGACACTGTGTAACACAGTGTCCATTAGTGTGAGAAAGAGCGTATCAGTGTGTTTCACTCATACTAGTAAACACTGTGTTACACAGTGTTGTCTGTATACGTAGCTGGAAAGCACCCTATGTTGAGCTGATCACTCGATTTAAGGCAATCACACATAAAATTACGTCAGAACGTAAGACGTAGTTCTTCTCGGGAGAAGAGTGTTCAAACTGTGTTCAAGTGTCAATCTGTGTCGATTTGTGTCTTGTGAAAAAGCAGCCATAGACACAGCTTCAGATAACTGCCTTGAAGCAAAGAGTGCTTTCGAACTACGTACACAGGCGACACATTGTAACATAGTATTCACTAGTATGAGTGAAACACACTGATATGCTGTTCCTTACACTAATTTTTTCGACTCAATATTACTTTTTCTACCTGTTTACGAGAGTTTGTTCGGCAATTACAAAACACTCTGTATACATACAAGATTTTCTACAAATTTTTAGTAAGCCAAAGTGTGAAGGTAGATTGCGTTAATCTGGACAGAAAAGTTATGTAACATTTTGCAAAATTCGCAATAATTATTGAGATATGAAATAATAAATGTAAGCCAATGAGCGCGCGAGGGGCAATAATCGGACTTTATATACGGCGTTCAATTTGAGAAGAGAAACCGGATAGACGAAAACTCGTCCATTTTGCGCACCTTCCCTAAAAAGTCTTTTTACTCCACAGCCATTGGTTATCAGCCAGTGTTCTACCAATCTCGCATGCAACGCTATTTCTACTTTGCCCGCTTTCTTCTTCTATGCGCAGTAAAATTCAAATTAAACGCGGTATAAGCGTACACGATTATCAGCTCTACTTCTCGCTTCTCACTGCTTGCTGCGTACCGCCAAATAACGCCCGATTGCAAGAAGCTGAGTCGCGCCGCGCTTGTTTGTTCCTAACGCCCTGAGCGCAATAGGCGCAATATTAAGAATAGCAATAAATATTACTTCTTTATTATTATTATTATTATTTATTATTTGGAAAAATAATGTTACATTAAACAAGAGAACGAAGATCAATTATTCCAAATTCTCTTTTTTTAATTCATAATAGATTAATTTATTCTATTTTCTTAATTTGTAAAGAAATAATTCACATATCTTATTTTATATTTATTCTTATTCCTAATATTTTGTCTGGTGTGTTTAGGGCCTAAGAATTTGCATTACAGAAGCCATTTTTCTTTCCATCTGATAACACAGCCACACAAAAAAAAAAATTTCTTTGGCCTGGGGATCAGACCATGTTTATTATATGTTTTTGGGGTCGCTGAATCCGAATCCGAGGTCCATTAAACCCTATCGGGTCGGGGTTCCGCCATAACCTCAAAAAACACCATAAT